TTTTCGCCTGCCTGCTCCATTATTTTTCTTGAAAAATCTGTTAACCAAGAAATTAAATTGGTGTGGCCTTATGCATAATTCTTTATGGTAAAAAATATGCCTTTTTGGTCGCAAAATAAGATGTCTATTTGACTGTACGTTTAGTCACAGGCAGCCCTAGAGCAGTATATGTACTTGTCTGTCTTTGTCCACAGGTGTGGGATCTGTTCCCCGAGGCAGAGAAGGTTCGTGAACTCATCAGTAGGAAGATTCAGGAGGAGAGTCTGCGCACCTATCTCTTCACCTACAGCGCTATATATGACTCTCTCTGGTAAGGGTTACTAGTAGTAGTACTCATTTGTAGACTTTGTCAGCAGACTACCCGGTAGTTAGTACATTTACCAGACATGGATACCTCCCCAGTTTTCCCAGAAAAAGCCTCTGTCACACATAGCCGAATATGGCGTACTAACTCCTCCAACCATGGTTAGGAGTAGGTCAGGTGTAATGTTGGCTGTGGTTGGTGTTCGACCAGGTCAGCTACTGTTTCAGATTATTTGAAACAGTCGAGTGTTGATGGGAGGTTCAGTCACGGTTGGCTGGGGGCTGGCAGTGAATTTTGACTCAAATTTAACTCAAATTCAGTATGATTTGTATAGAAAGTTGATCTACATGTATTTGGTGGTCTTCTAAATGACAAAAGGATGGAGAAATTGTTGTAACTGTCTGAAATAATCTGTTTCTTTCGGTCTCATAGTGAGGACACCGACATTGACATTGACCATGTTGCCTGTTACAGTTTGGTAACCCTGTCAGAGATGTTTGAGCTGGATGGACCAGTGGTACACAGCATCATCAGTAAAATGATCATCAATGAGGAGCTGGCTGTGAGTACTGTCATGTTCAATTAAAGCTAAAGCATCTAATAGTAACAGTTACTGTAAGTTGTAGAGTTTAAACTTTGTTCTAACACAAAATGGGAACACACCATGAATCTTGAGTCAATCTCGTCAACCTTCGTCAAAAGTATGATCCACTCAGTACTGACTCTCTGGTGACGTCAGGAGTGCATCAAAAGGGGGGGAAGACATGAGGGGTGTGAAGGAGGCACATACATGACATTACACCAGGGCACATCAACCCTCTCTGAACCATGGCGGTGGAAGGTTCCGTCTTCCTGCCACTTTAATGCACTCCTGGCGTCATCTCGCTTGGGGAAAGTCAGCGCAGTGGATCATTTATCTTCCAAATGTAGACAAAATTGAAGGAAAATGCATAGTTAGGTTCCTTTTTTTGTGCTGGAACAAAGTTCTGTAACTATGCATGTGTACATGTTGAGTCATTGAAGTCGAGACTCCAAAATTTTGTGATACAGTAAAAATCTACAGTTTGAAGTTAAAGCAGAATAGTGGCAACACAGTGGATAAGACATGTATATGCTAGCACTTGTTCATGGGTGTGATGGGTTTCCAATGGAGAAGTAACTTGATGATTTACAATGATTAGGTTCTGTGCATAATCAGCTTAGGTCTACATGGGCAGAAAAAAAAAAAAAAATCAGGCAGTAGTTGATTCAATTCATATAGAAATGTACATGTAGGTGTGGCCTAAATCTGGTCAGACAGCTCCCAAACTTCAGCCAGTCTTGGTCGGCTGGTGTACGGGGTTATTAAATGATACTGTACCTCCTACCGGTGCAATGGCCAAGTGGGTAGAGTGCTCGCCTTGCATTTGGTAGGTCGTGAGTTCGATCCCCTGCCGAGTCATACCAAAAACTTAAAAAATGGTACATAATGCTTTCTCTGCTTAGCATTTAGCATTTGAGAAAGAGTGGGAGTTAAACACACAACACTACCAGTGGACTAGCCCCCTGCTGTAGTGATTGCACAGCTGTGCGGCCCAAGGGCTACAAAATGGAGACTGGATGTACACTGGATGTGGAGGGTCCAAACCCCCGTGGCCGCCCTAGAAGGAAATGGTACGACAATATACGGGAGGACCTCCACCACCTGAACTTAGATAAAATCAACCCACAGGACAGAGACAAGTGGCGTGCTGCCATCAAGCCCCAGTCGTATTGTGCAAGCACGTCTAACCCTCGGAAGACGGGGAACAACAGACGATAAACCGGACAGTGAGTGAGTGTGTGTGAGTGGTCGCTGCCATATGCGACCATGCTAGTGGTTGTGGGAGGGCTTTAACTTATCGAACTGTACCTTCTCCAGGCATCCTGGGATGAACCCACCCAGACGGTGGTCATGCACCGCTCGGAGCCCACACGTCTACAGAACCTGGCCCTGCAACTGTCGGACAAACTGGCCAACCTCGTGGACAACAACGAACGTATCCTGGAGGTCAAACAGGGCACGTCTGCCTTCTACACCAGGCAGGGGGAGGGTCGCTTTGGCCGGCAAGGTAAAGAGCGCCATCATCAAGGGAAAGAGCGGCAGCAAGGTAAACACACATCTCTTCAATCTACTCAGGACAGTTTAACTTGTAGTCATTATGCAGAGACATTTTGGTGTTCCTACACCTGTGAGAAAAGGCTCAAGTGGATTTTGAAACATCATTAATTTTCTTTCTTTTCTCTCTGTCAGCTCTTACATTCTTTCATATTCTTCTTTCCATTCCCTCTCTTCTATCTCCCATCATTTCCTCGCTTATTCCTTATTAATTACCACCATGATCATGTTCTCTGAAGTGCTCTGTCATGGGGGAGTGCTCATTTATTCATTTTAATCCAGCACTGCATTTCAGCCACTTATTCATTTATAGTGAATATACTGATCCTTTTTATTGTCATAACTATCTTTGTTGGATCACTTTGGCGAAAGTTTAAAAAAGAAAAAGAAAAAGTAAGAAAAAGTGAACCCTTACCCACCCTAATTTTTTCACAACCGTAATAGATAACACAACATTAATTTTCCTAGGCCTTATTGACCATGTGACAGTGTCAGTTTTGTAATCCAAAGTACATTGATATGCAAATTTTCCTTATTTCACTTACTATCTATTCTGATTTGTGTATGATTGATTTGATATTATTTGATGTATGCCTATTTTGGACCGCTTATTTTTCTGTTACTTAAGTTCGTGCTTAAGTTACCTTATGTTAATTTGCCCCTTGATTGTACATTAGTTTTCTTCAGTGATTACTTTATGTTGTATTATATTGTTATTATTTTATTGTGTTTGGGGTTTTGCCCCCCAGGGTGCATTGAAAACCGCCCTCCAGGGCGATATGTTTCTCTGGTTAATAAACAATAAATAAACAAACAAACAAACAAAGTCTCCACTGATGTGTTGTTGTGTGCAGGTCAGTCTGGGTACCACCAGCAGCAGGGTCGTCAGTACCAGGGCCAGCGGCGGGACAGAGGTGACCGGGACAGGGACCACCATCAGGGGTACAGCAGACAGCAGGACAGATGGTAGTCAACAGCACAGAGACAGCTCCAGACTTCTTAAAGGCACTCAAAGAAATAGAAGGGCGGCAAAACTGGATTTTCTAATTAAAATGAAACTTTCTGGTCACTTTGTATGTTGAATCAAACCTATCCCATAGCATACCCGTGAGGCAAAAATGTGATGACAGAAAAGGGTTGCTTGTTTCGTATCATTGGCTGGTTCTAGCTATTTATTGGTGGTACCTAAAATAATGGGACTTCTCATGCAACTTGTTTTGGGGCTATTTCATGAAATGATGTTGAAAATGGGGTACGAAATGGTAGTAAATGCCAATACCACACAGATGTCCTCATCCAGAATTTTTTGTTTTGCCGCCCTGGAATTGCCTTGGATACCTTTAACAACCAGACATCTACCACTGAAGTACATACTTTACACATCTGTACATCTCAAATATACAAGAATTGCAGTTCAAGATGAAATAGCATGTCCGTATGGCAGTTTAGAATGTGTGTTGACAGTTTCTTGAAATTAATAACATAGAAGTTAAAAGCTAATGTCATCATAGCCCAATATCATGTGTTCTCTAACTGGACTGCAAGTTTGTTTCCCAAATATCATCTTGGCCGTAATAAAGAGAGAGAGAAGAATTACCTGTTTATTGTTATTCTTGTCTTCTATTGGATTATGTTGAAAAAGGGTCAAGGCCACAGCAAGTAATAAATTCTATGGATGACATTCTCCACAGACTCCAAATTGAATGCAATAGAGCTGAAAAAAGGTTCCTACAGTTTCAAATTTTGAGGTCATAATCCTTGTTAAACAAGAATTTAGAACATGCTATCACAACTATGGAGTTTGATCACCTGTCCAGTGTTGTTAAAAAGGAGTCAAGGGTTTGATTTTTCCCCTATTCTGCTAGTTTCCCTGGTTCCCCTCATCATGAAACTGCAGAAAAGGTTCTGATTGTACCTCTGACAACTACTGGTGACAAACAATGGACCAAAGTGGGTCCTGCTTTATTTATTTCACCTCAAGACGACTGGGTGACCCCATTCAGCCTACAATAGCTGTTTTCCAAGGGGGCCAGCTTGTTACAGAACAATACAGTACATACAGTTAAACAGGACAACATACAGTAAACATAAAAGCACAAAAGTCCAATGTGTTGACAACAAAATCATAATCCAGTGCCGTTCCATGGTCAGCACAAAAATTCGGAGTTGAGGTCAAGAGGCCGGGTTTCATATGACATATTTCATAATCATGTTTGATGACATCTCAACATTATTGTAACAAGTGTTGTTGTTTTTTTCTTGTGAGTGCGTGTTCCTGAGCTACAGCACTTCTGCTCAAATACACACGCCAATGCACACCACGGCCAGGACAGATGCTACATGTATATACCCTATATTCAGACAGGGGGTGCTTTTGAGGCCCGTGCCCTGTAATTCAACAACTACGTATATCGTAGTACCATCAAATTTTCAGAGGATAGTGTAGTACTTAGTAGAATTAATAAATCATAACATCATTGTTGTTACTTTGACGTAAAATGACGTCATTGTGATGTCATTTGTGTGATTTTTTTGGGCTAAAATCGTGAAAATGGTCAGGGGATATCCAACATGACGTCGGCGCGGGCTTCAAAAGCCCCCCTCCACTGTCTGAATAGGGTTAAGGGTTTGTTTGTGTCAAATGTTTTATAAATTATATATGTGATCATCTCATGTACGAGTTTCGTGAACAGTGCTGGTGTGGTTGATCTGGTGTCTTGTGGAGGGGCGCTGTGTGATTAAATGCATCTAAACATGAATGATCTCATACTATCTTCAAAGTTCATCTGTGTTGATACATGTTTAAAGTTAAAACATTTGGTCCAACACAAAAAATTCTCTCACCTAGAGCTTGGGGAAACAGAAAGGTCTCTAAAAGCCAGGTTTCAAGAACATACACGGCCTAGCTCTGTTAGTTCAGAGGTGTCTCAACACATCCGTATAGAGTCACCCGGACATTTTGACACTGTAAGGATTTTAGACACTAAACAAGACTATTTCTTGAGAGGGGTGAAGGAAGCCATATACATCAGGGCCCATCACCCTACATTGAACCGCGACGGGGGCCGACATCGTCTACCAGATACCTTTGATCCAGTGTTGACGTCACACTTCAAAGAAGCCACGTGACAAGCTTCACTGGGTCAGTCTACTGAGGAAGACCAGATTGATTGTTTAAAAGCTCTAGGTGAGAGAATTTTTTGTGTTGGATCCAAATGTTTTAACTATAAACACATGAATGATCTTGTCACTGCAGAGGTATTAGTTACGTTTAGGTAATCTCAAGCGGATTATGCCACTGTCCTATTATTTTGGTATCAATTTATATTTTTTGATGCGCATAGACAAACCCCAGTTAGGCAGGAGACCTAGAGGACGACCGAAGGAAACATGGCGAAGAACCATCGACAAAGAAGTGCGGAGCCATGGTTTCACTCTCGATGAGGCACCAAAGATAGCAGCGGACCGGGCCAGATGGAAGAGCTACCTCCTGCCTTAAGAGCCATGCTGGCTCAGAAGAGGACTAAGTAAGTAATAGACAAACCCCAAGATCAGTCCCCACATTTTCCATTGTACAAAAAAGCGAGAAGAAGTTGACCACTCTGTGGCTCAGTAGCTACAATACTTTGTATTAGCCTAGTATAGTATCCTTGTATGTTCCTTATGTATGTATGTCTAAGCCAAGTAGTGTATCTTTTGTCTCCACGTTTGTTATGTGTCTGTAAAGTCTTGACCTGTACCTTGCCCGCCGTGGCATGAATGTACAATAAAAGTCTTTCATCATCATCACAACATCTTAGCAATGTGTGGATGGTAGAGAAATGTCATAAGGCACATATTAACAGCCACAATGAGTTCGACGAGCGAGCTGCCATGTGTAAGATTAGAATAAGTGCGCATCCACTAGAGATAGAAAAAGGCCGCTATAGAAAACTACCTGTGCACGAGAGATTATGTAAATATTGTACAATGAATGCAGTGGAAAATGAAATACATTTTGTTAGCCAGTGTCCTCACTATGAGACCGAAAGAAACAGATTATTTCAGACAGTTACAACAATTTCTCCATCCTTTCGTCATTTAGAAGATCACCAAAAAAACTGCATTTCTACTAAAAACACAAAACCCACTAATTATGCAGAATGTGGGACTATTCATTATCCACTGCCTTCAAAGAAGAAGTCGAACCCCATAATAGCTAGCGTAGTAGTAGAAGTAGAAGTTTTTTCCAGACAGTTGTTACCTGTCTCCTGTTACTGTATTGCAATGAGTTTTATTCTTGATTGTAAAAGCAATTAGCCTTCGGGCATGATTTTGCGAATAAAGTTTCTAATAAAGTTTCTATTATTCTATCTGAAACGTTCTCTATAGAGATATGTTTCAGAGTACGTTTATAAAGAGTTACAAACATCCTGCCACCTTTTTTGCAAGAAAAGCTCTTCTACCAAAACGTGATTGAATCTTAGAACCCCGCAAGCCAGAGAGCGGTAATGATGTGATTATTATTAATACTCTCAGTAGTCGGACACATCGGAGCGTCCAGCAGCCGTATAGGAAAACCCACCCCGACGGAAAACGTATGAATATGCAGGATGTCAAGGGTATTTGATCACACCCGTGCAAGCCGAGGTAAAATTACATTCGATGCAGGTACGTAAAAGTTTAAAAGAACGGCGAACTTTTTGAGGTTATTGAGACAGCAATGCGCGTGTGGCGCCTATAACAGGAACTAGTTTGCTTTCCGGTAGCTGTGTTGTCTGACATGCTGCATCAGAATCAGTGCGGTGTGGAGTACGGTTTGTGGAACGTGGACCGTGAGCAGGCGGGGTTGGTGCGTGTGGGGATCCCGTGTAAGCTTGTTTCTAAACCCGATGCGACAGACGCGTCCCTAACATCTACTGAGTAACGACTTGTGTGAGAATGGATACAAACGACTGTACATTTGTCATATGTAGAACTGTGCTGGTCCCAAGACTTTTCAATACGCATGGTATTTGTTAATTTTTGACCCATCTCTGCCCTTGTTGCCCTTCGGGTCACATCGTTTGGCCCCCGGGCATCCCTCCCAGCCCGGTTCACTGGACAACTCCGGGGCATTCAATTACCGAGACCAACAGACCGAGCTGGGCGGTAATGGAATGAAAAATGACTTTTGGGCAGGGCGGCGAAATAAATTCAATCGGCTCTGGCCGGGGCAGGCTGTTTTCACCAGACTTTTACCTCCGAGAGTTGATGAGAATGCCGTTAGTCAGATGGACTTTACAACACTTTACCGGTACATGCTGTCTGCACGTATGTTATCATATCTAATAACACTGAATGGGGGCATTAGGTTTGACCTGGTAAACATGTGTTACGGCTTGTTATTACAATCAAATTTCCTTCATATACACATATTAGCACTTATGATTTTGAATTGTATTTTTGTTCTTACAGGTAGGATATGGTACATAAAGCTACATGTACATGTATATACAATACTAGTATCAATGTTAAGGTCAGCAAAACAGCGTATTCCGCCATTGGCCTGTGTAACTACAGCAGGATAGATCTGCCACACCACGTTTTGTTTAAAGTACTATAATACTGTTTCGTCATTAGGCCACACCAATTCAATTTGTTGTTTCTTGGATTTTTTCCAAGGCACCCCATGATAGCCGGAAATGTTACAATATGAGCCATGAACCAGGCTGGTTTATAATTAAAATAATAGATTTTGAACTCTTAATGAAACAAAATTGCATTGTTACATTGAAAAACTTTAACAACTAGAAAGAAAAGGACAACCGTTGGGGCAAAATATGTTTTTTTTTTGCAAATCAGAAAAAAATGGACAGGGCGAATCCGAGAAACAACAAATTAAATTGGTGTGGCCTTATAATAAAAAAATTCCGCTTCCGTATCATTAACTTAAGCTGTTACGCCGAAGGGCGGTTATACCGACTATACGGCTATGGATTACTATGCTGAACAATTTGAGATTGTCAAAAATAAGAACATTGTCACGCAGTTCACTTAACCTGACTGCAGCCATTTTTCCTAAATGGTCGGATGACTTTGGTCTATCGGGATGGACTGCTTATAACGTTATGATGAAAATCAGGAAGATTATATTTGGCGCAAATACGGAAAACTTTTTCACCTATGGAAAACTTAACTCTGTCCTATTTTTGTTTTATATGGGCTGTCTAAAATTTGTCTTGGCATCATTTACATATTACATTAATTCATAGTTTTTTTATAAATAGCTGTTTAACTACAGATTCCGTTCACCGTGATGACGACACATATACGTCTGACAGCTTTCAAAATCTATCCAGTTGATTCTGTAACTGTTTTTGTGTATCTGATGACATGGGTGTCTAACCTTCATCGACGTATGAAACAACTTTGGTTAATCCGTTTCAAAATGTACATATTTATGTGTTTGCATCGAAGCTGCATTATGCAAAATAATGGCGATACAAAAAGTTGAGTTTCAAGTCATTTCTTTACAAAGTAAGTTGAATCAATCCTACTCCATTAAGGCCATGTTGATTTGATTATATGGATGACATCCGCGCGCACATGAATTTCCGGCCATTTCCAAA